TCGCATTAAATAGAAAAAAAACCCATAGAACTGAAAATTTTTCGAAAAGCGTAAGATTTCATAGCAACTTTTTCAACAGAGTCAAAAGACTGCTTAATGGAAGAGTGCTCTTCTCAGCCTGCTAAACAGACTAACGTTACCCAGCATGTATAGTTATGCAGTGCTGTAACCAGACAGCACCCATTACACCTCTCCTCAAAAGCCTTTTAAGTCTCTGAAAACTAGACTTGACAAAACTAAGGAAAACCTTACTACGAATGGAAAGAAAATGACACATCTTAAAAAAAAAAAAAAAAAAAAGGAAAATAGTCATTATTATACCAAAACTCAACCCTGTTCTCAAGAAACTTTTGAAGGCAAGAAAAAAAAAATTAACCTTTCATGATGACAAACAAAACCAGCTGATGGGTCTTGCTTTGGTCTCCTTTTGTCTCTTGTCCTAGTACACAATTCCATGTAAACCATGTCTCTGGGGTGCAAACTTCATGCAGATTTTGTAACATGCACAGCACACAATACAATCATATGACTGTATTCTACTGAAAATCCTGAACCAAAAATGCAAGTGCTATATCTATTCATATGCGTTTTTCAGATTAGAACTGACTGGTCAGTTATAATCTAATCAATCTGTACGCCTTTTAAAGAAATCCTACTTCCTGAAATAAGCTGTTGGATAAATGGTACAATTTCAAAAGCAAAGGAAAACTGGAAACACTGCATCTGGCCACTAAGTAGGAAAAGGTTACAGGCTGTGGGAAATCAGTAGAAACCAGGCTATCAGGGACAGAAAGTGATGGGCAAGCTTTCATTCTTCAAATTACTATAGCTATATTACTACTAAATTGTGGGATGCAGGTTTTTTCTTTCACCATGTCCATGTTTTCAAAACAGCTCAGAAATTACCTATGTAATAATTACTAAATTACAAGGAGGGGGAGAATTCTTTTACCATAGTTAAAAAAATTAAATTTAGCAAAGTCTCAGAAAAAACATTTTAAATCTGTAAAATAAATATCTTTCCTTTGAGTCTATTGGTAAATAAGAAATTGCTACCCTTGACAGCCTTTGAACTTGCACCATCTAAAACTAAGAAGCCTTTCACAAGATGTTATGAAAACACCACACCATATCAACACTATTTTCTAGCAGTCACACACAAATTTTTCTTTAACATGGTCGACCCAATCCACAAAACAAACTAAAACTGTAAGCAAATCTGAAGTATTTAACGATTATAACCTCCCCCCCAATATTCTGCTGTTGTGTTTTGCAAACTTCTAACATTTTTGAGTACTTACGAAAGAATTCGGTCAAGTTTTGGTCCATTACGTCCCTGAAGGACGACAGGAGGCTTGTATACCTTCATTATTCCTTACTATCTATACAGTTCCTCTGTTTCTGGTGTTCTTGGTCTCTTTATTTATGAAGCGGTGATGATTTTGAAGTTATTTATAAACATTAACTCATTAAATTCCCAAGTGTCATATTAGATACCAACCCAATGACTCATATTCCTGACAATATATTTACCATGTCTGAAGAGAAGGTAAATTTACATGCACGAGTAGCACACACAAGCATGCCATGAACTAATCTTATATTTTAAAATGGTGTTTGACATTAAGTAACTCTGAAGTTATTAACAAATACATATGTCAACTCAACTTGGCTCATTATCAATCGGTGGAATTCATAAACACTGCCTGACTACCAGGCTGACAAAATGTAAAACAACCCATATAACAAAATATCCCTTCAGTTCTGAGGATTAAAAATAGAAGCTGGAGTGTTTTAAAGCTTGTTATTACTGTAGTTGAGTGAGTGCAAGTTAAGGAAAATTACAGTTAACTTCAAGTACTCTCTGAAAGGGAAAGCATAAGTCATGTGTTAAGGTTTCTTAAAAGAGAGTAACAAAGGTTACAATGCACCAGACAAAATTATTTTATTACACCTCATGTGTAATCGTGGCTTCATAAAACCCTCGGTGTTTTCGATCGTACATCTGGTCCTTGTAGCTCTAGAAATTGTCTCACTGCACAGTAAGCAATACAAACATCCAAGTAAGAAGCTCTGCAGCAAAATAAGCAAAGTAATATTACTACTTTAGCACTTCTACTTAAAATGTAAGGCATCTAAATCCTTTCTAAAATAGAAAAGATTCTTTGAAGCAAAATAATACACTTTTGCTGGGAATGATCTAATTCAGTTCCCAATTTCCCCAAGATTCTTGAACACTGGTTACGAAAGCAAAGGAAAAAACCATCAGATCTGTTGAAGAGCTCTCTTCATTATGCCACTCTTCACTGGTCAGTCCTTTGGCAAAATACTTCTGAAGAAATGTTTCTATTTCTGCCTACGAAAACCCTGAAGCTAAAAGCCACATAATTTAACTTTGAAATTAGTCCTGCTTTGAGCAGAGGGTTGGACTAGACCTCCACAGGGTCCCTTTTCCAACTTTAATTTTCACGCAAGCAGATGTTTTCCTCCAGCTTAGAATAATTTCAAAAAATATTTTCCTGCACTCAACATGGTAGTCAGTTAAACACTACTTAATCCAGGTACACTTAAGGGCAGGGATATGAGAACAGCACTTAAAGACAACTATTATCAAGCCACATTTTAAAGAAAACCCCCATCCAACAGATACATATTTCACAAGCCATAGACTTAGCAAAGCCTGCCTTTCTCTTGATCCGTCACAAACCCCATGTTCCTTCCTACGCAGTAACATTTATTCCCATTTCTTACATTCCCTGTAGCCTTAGTGCTCCCCACAGGATTCAATTCTGCCCACACTGCCTTTATCCTTTACTGAGATTGGAAATGTCACTCATAGATATGTCACAAGTAGTACATGCCTAAACCTTTTTTTCCCCAACTATTTACTACTCTCTACATTATGGGAGTAAGTTCTTACAGTCTGAAAGCTGAAAGACAGTTAGTACAGAAGAGAAGTTCGAGCTTAGAGTTAATTGACCTTCATTAAAACCATGTAGTTACAGCAGTAACAAGACTGAAGAAGCACTTGTGAAATGTTTTAACAAAATTACATGTTCTTCTAAAGCTTAATGATACAACGCCAATAGTCTTTCCACAGACAATCTGGCTGGCAGCATGAGTAAACACTCCAGAGCTCCATCCTCTTTTAGGGAAAAAAACAAATCAAAACCAGGACCAGACTTCAAAGAGGACATTACATTAGATGAAAACAATTAGAGCACGCTGATCAAATGAGAAATGAAGCCATAAGAATGCCATCTGATAATATGTCCTTTATATACAAAAAATTTCAAGAGACTTGCAGAGCTCTTAATACAGGGCAGCACTTTTTCCTGAAGAGATGCCTATCTACAATGCTACTCTGAAAAATATTTCAGCATTAGAAATTTCAGTTAATACAGCCTTCTAAAGGAACAGACAAGAAATAAAAATACTAAAAGCCACTAATATAGAACAGAAAAAATATCTAAAGAAAAAAAGCTTTTTAAAAGTCTGTCAAAAGAAGTGACATAAAAGACCTTTACTATGACAACAAACTTGTACATAAGTACATCAAACAGACGAATTTGTAATGAGCTTCTTGCTATTTGTTTTTAACAAGGTAACTTTCAGATAAAGTGATCCCAGCTCAGAATAAGAACATACCGCAGAAAAAAGACAGACAAGTATGACCAATTTTGATCTCAAAACTTTGTTCAATATGTTTCAGTTACTAGTTTATCAAACCCATAATATGAATTATTCCCAAATTAGCAATCTGGTTCTGCTCACCTTTTCATAAACAAACTAAGTGCCAAATATCAACACAGAAAAAACTTCCGTGCCAATTAGACCCAAACATGTTTAAGCATTTTTCCAGTTACTACAGAAAGCTATTAGGTGCTTTTACACCATCAGTCTGGACCACCTCCCATTTATTCAAGGATCTTGTTCCCTGCATCTGTACTGCATGTGACCTAAATGTCTCCCAGCATCCCTTCAGGAAGGGAACAGCTAATCTCCTGGGAGTATTTTGATGGTAAAACAATCCAGGATTGCATCACAGGCAGTATGCTTGAGACAGCCCAAGGTCTTGCTGTTTTCCTTTAACCAGTCTAACAGCACTGTCCTACAAGACTTTGCCATTTCATATACCCATATCCCACACACTAAATCTACAGCATTGACCCGTACTGCCACAAAACAAATGAGGGAATCTGGCAACTACAGAGTTTCCTAGAACTTGGGCACATCATTGATACATAGCAATTTTTAAAAGGAACAGAAAGAATCCGTATGTTAAAAATGCTTTGGGTCTGAAAAATATCCCACAGGGCATAGGGCAGGGTACAGTGGCTTCACATTGCAGGGAACAGCTTAGCTTGGAGAAGTGCCAGCTGGTCAGGGGAACACAGACTACTCGCTGAAGGCAGCACAGATGCAACCAGCATTGCTACAGCTGAAACTTAAACAACTAAAGGCAACATAAATTTATACACTAGAAGTAGAAAAGGAAGGTTTCTTTGCTAAGTAATACAGACGAAGGCAAACAAGATTTCCAAAAGAATGTTCTGATCTACTGCATCCACGTTCAGGAAGAAAAGCTGTCATTTGTGATGATTCAATTCTCTGCTTCTAAAGGTTAAAACTTCCTTCTCTGCTTGCTGCTTTCTTCCTTACAAGCGTGTGTCAAAAACTGAAGACACAACAGTCACTGCAAAATTAATTAGTCTGGTTGAAAATGACAGCAGTGAAACCTCCCAAGGCTTCCCCTCTGATCTTCAGCTCTTTCCTGACAGGCCAATAGCAGTTGCATTGTTTGAATGGGTGGAGAGCACGAACAAGGGATCGGCTACAATCAAAGTTTTTACATGGCCGAGCTGCACTAAGGAAAACCACACGCATACAAATGCTGCCCTAATGCAAGAGAGTAATTCTAAGTCCTTGACATTTAATTTCTCATCTTTAGGGGGTATCACTTTCTTGAATTTAACATCTGTTCACTTTTAATACCGTACCTTCTCTGGATTTCCAATTCTTCTTGTGATGGACCATTTTGCACTTGAGAGGGAAGCTGTGAATTCTGTCGAGGCAACGTAGGACCTAAAAGTGAAGACAGACCATAAAAATGGTTTGAATTTTTACCATGCAAAAAAGCATATAATCAAGGAAAAAGGCCAGCCACCACATGACTTTAAGAACTGTTCACTTTTGCCTTTTAAGCCAAACAAGCTCAAAAACATAATTTAGCAAATAAAAGCTGCAACAAATGTTACCTTACGCATTTACAGAATGAATTTATTTCACATGGATGGAAAGGTTTCACAGAAATGCAAAACAGATTTTATATATGATGGAATTTGACAAAAGCTTTGAAAAGCACTCCAAGTCTGAGATTTTCTTAAAACAATGAACAAATACTCTTGGAGGAACAGGAAGGGCTCAAAAAATTAAAACACTCACCTAAATAGAACACTGGAAAAGGGGAAGAGGAAAACAAAAAAGGAAAAAAAAAAAGAACAGGAGAGAAAAAACATCAGAACCTTATCACCACATTGAGAGAAGGAAGATAAAGTATGTTTCTACAGGTCACACCAAAATTTACTCAGATTTTAGCTCATCAACTTGGATCAAAGACTTTCTTTTTTAGATAGGTAAGTACTGGGTCCAAAGGAACAGAGGCACATCACCAGTGTACAAACTGTGAATTCTGCTAAGCACATGAGATGCAAAAGAGAAGGACACACAAATTCATCTTCAGTTTTTACTGATGGGCAATTCTGAATCATACAACTTTCAAATAACTGTAAATGTACATTTAGAAATGAAATATGTATATTTAGAAATGAAATGACTTTTCCATCTTTCTCAAGTCTATTTACAGCACAGAATTATTTACAAAGAATTAACAGATGTGAAGAATTACAAAGTGTGGAATGGAATACAGGGGATCAAGAATGCATTATTTCTGTAAAAATGGGCACTAAACCAGTAAATTATTTAGATTGTAGCTACACTTAAGATTATGGAATTTATAAGCAAGCAGAATTAAAAAAGATTAAAATGTGTCAAATTCTGAAAAGATCCCAAAGCAAAACAGTAATTTCTTGCTGAGATTCCACCAAACTAGTTACAGTGATGGAGTTGTAATGAGATCTCCCCTATATCAAATACCAAAATGTAGAATTTGTTTCCCATCTGAACTTGTGAAAGTCATCCAAACCCATGAAAAGACCATGTGTGATACACTGACACATCTAGGACAGTCAAACAAGTGCCCTGTTTAAAGGCTTTACAAAAAGGTTCATTTACTCAGAACAGCATAGTATTGTGTCCACTGTGGTCATAAAGACAATCCTGAAAATTATAAAAGTGTACATTATCAGTGTATCCTACAGTCAAAAAGTAATGTAGGAACTTACTTCTGGAAGATAAAAGCAGAAATTGCACTACAGAGGTGGTATCTTCCTGATTTATTCTTTTCAGCATGTACCTAATGACGTGATGCTGCCCTTGATGTATTATTTTTGCTTCGAGTATCTCCAAGAGATAACCACAGATATAAATCTATACTACTTTTAATGCAAAATATTAAACTGCAATGATAATCAATAATTAAATTATCACTAAGTAGAAACATCTGTTATACTGCTCATCTGGAAAACTTTTCAGCTTTAAAACTTCCATAAGACACACGTCCTGCTCTCATCTCCCCTGTGTGACAGGTGGAAGGCTTTAAGGCCCATAAAACCATGACTGCAGCTCCCAGGCAGCCGGGCTATTTGCTGCCTGCACCATGCTGCAGCCTTTCATGGACTTTCACAAGTAGACACAATCCAGCAGCAGCTGTGCTGCTGCTCAGAGATGCCATATACACCACTACTGCTTGCCACGTCTAATAGAATGCTTGGAGTAAGTCAAGGTTCACAGTCTGAGGTGTAAACTATAAGTAACACTAAGCATCAGACATATGATGAAACTCCCTTTGTATTTCTGAGTATGAAACACATTGACCTAAAAATTAACAACAAAGAACAGAAATAAAAAGAAATAGTCATACTATGGACATTTACCAACCATTTACTGCACTGAAAGTACAGCAGAAATGAGAAGTTCAAGCTTCCACCCATTTAATCCTTAAGAGGATTTAACAGGGGGTTTTTGAACAAGGTATTATCATGATGCAGTAGCTTAACATGGACCACCACTCTACAACCTTTCTACTAGCGTGCTCCCACTCTCTTTTTAGCCAACCCCTCCAGAAACCAACCATCGAGCTTCACTTGCACTGGCTATTCCAACCAACCTAGTGGTGAGAAAACCTGTTCTTGTAGTCTCAAACTTTGTTCCAGAGCTCTGTCTGCCAGAAAATCATATTGTCAATTCTGCAGAAGGCAATCATCAGCAAGCCAAGTTAGAGTTGACTTGGCCAACCTACTCCAGTGATGTCCTTCCTTCATAGCTGTATATGCAAGAGAGCAGAACACAATCACCTGCTGACAATTAACTTGGTGGTTACTTGGTTTGTAAGTATTTCGTACAAATTTTTGCTGTAAGGAAATGCAATTTGAGTATACCAAAGGCTTTCAAGAAAGAAAAGTTTAACTACCAAGTCATTTGGCCAGTTTTCTCATCAAATTTCTCTCTGCAAGTACAGATTCTTAACAACTACCATGTAAATGGACAGTGGCAAGTTAAAGGCACATACCAGGTGGCAAAGTACATTTTATCTGAGAAACTTTATTACAGCAAGCAAAGACCATCACTTCTTTGTCTGGGTAGTGGGGTAGGTGGTATATTAAATAAGCAGTAGCTAGCTTAAATAAGCTTACTCAGAGGCTTTTGAACACTTCAAGATACTTCAGAAAAATCAAGCCCCAAGAGAAAATCTCACAGATACTGCCTGGAAAAAAAGTCTGATCTTTCTACAGGATCACTTAATCTTCAGAAACCAGTACAAGCCAAGTAAGAGATGAGGCTGAATAGTCTATTCATTCTGAGTTTTAAGGAAAACCTAACATCTTTCTTTTTCTAAAGAAAGCACAGATGGTGCACTCCGCAGCACGCTCTGACAGACAGAGGATATAATTTCATACTAATTTGTTCAGCAGCCATTCCAGTTTCAGCGCTTTCTGTTTTTCAGCTTATTCTCACCTTTGCATCACATCACCCTTCCTCTATGACAGTTCAGGCAACCGCATGGTGAGAGATGGATGGGAAGTCTAAAAATCTTTAAAAACCCAGGGGAAAAAAGCCTGCATGAAGCATTTTTACCAGCTAGATCACAGCCAGTTTTGGTTCTTCATGTAGTCACACAGACAATTATGCTGGCGCTGGCGTAGCTCAGAGAACAACGGGCTGCTGGGGGCTGCTTTAACCAAATTAGGCATCCCCAACACCACCCTTTTAAACCACAACCAGAGCTGTAGTTTATCAAACTCCTTAACTTCATTTTCAGTCCTGACATCTTACCTCTACCTCCATTCGAAAGCCGAATCGATTTCCGTTGCACGATCCCATAGAGGCATAATTAGCAAACTGGAGAGGGAAACAGGTGGTTTCTCCTCCCTCGATGCCTTTGGGTTCCTCCATTCCTCCAGTCTTTCAATTACATTGTGTCTGTTTTGGAGTTTCACACCACAGTCTATCCCCCTTCTTTTAATGTCACCTACATTATATTATCAGTGTTGACATAGCACCTGGCTGACATTGAGGACATAAGGTTTCTATAACCCTAAAAAAACCCATTTATCTGCTGTTCAAGATTGGCACAATACATGTATTACAAGTTATACAATGAGCTACAATGTATATTTTCATTTGGCTGGACAGGCTTAGGTAACATAAGGATGGGGGAAATGGTTTTTGTGGGGACTGCTGACAGTCAGATCACGTGAAATCTTTCTCAGAACCCCACATGCCCTAGAGTTCAAGAAAGCAAACACACACAAAAAACCTCATTCCTCCAATTACTGTACTGTTCAGAGTAGAGCATTAAGAGAAAAAAACTCTAATTTTTTAATAGATCCAGTAAAGCTGGTCAACTATCACACATGAGAATTTTAGTTTGAGGTGAAGATCTCTACTTTCTCCCCAGAGAAAGTTTATATAAACAACTCAGTAACTAAGTTTCCACTCTTTCCTTTCTCAGCATGTTAGTGCCAAAACTAAGCCACATTCCAATTATACAGTCTGATATCCAAATCAAAATATGACTTGACTTTTCAAAGTCTTTTCAAAGACTGAAAGTGAACAGCAAGTTTATTTATACATGTATATAATTTAAACATAACTGTACTGACTAACTATAATCTTCAGAGACAATTTTCATTAAGGACAGGTTAAGTACACCTACTAAGCTAAGACCACAGGCAAGAGTTCAAAGCCACAGCCACTAAGATGTACTTCTGTTTTAGAATACAAGAACTTATAACAGAAAAAAAGTGTTCTACTAAATGCTTAAATGTTTTCTGAATAAACGGAAAGCAGGCTTTTCAGAGATCTATGCAGGGAGTACTATGAACAATTATGGTGAAGTACCTTTTACTTGTCCCTAGCTCCTTCTCCTCCCATTCAGAGCCTGTCCTGCTCTAGGACATGACAGAACAAAGTCTGGGGAGACTTGCTAACCAGCCTCCAGCAGAAACAAAGCCACACCACTCCTCAAGACGTGGACTTGTGTTATGGATTTATATGCAAGACTATGATGGCCAAAAACTAGGGCATTAACAAGTGACAAAACTGTTCTCTAGTACTTCTATTTGGGTGAATCATCTTTCAGCTGAGACTTCCCTTTCCTTCAAATACCTCCTTCCTCTTATGCTGTTACCATTTTGTAAGTACCTTGAGCTGAGTTAATTTAGTCATCACTCTATACTTAAAGGAAATACTTTCCATTTCACTCCACAAGTACTTTTACCTGATCAAGATAATAAAAGGCAGCAAGAATAACAAAAATATTCATTAAAATACATTTGAATTTAAGTAGAGGTAAGCCTCCTATCAATGCCAGCAGAGCCTCCTATCAGTGCCGGCAGTGCCTTGGAAACCAGGCGCTGATAACCTGAGTGCCAGGCTTGGCTCAGCACCAGTGTGCTGGGCGA